ACCAAAAAAAGCCAGGATTTTATTCTTACATTTTTCCAGGTGAGTCCTGGGACCCTGGTTCTCTAATCCACTATCTCTTTTTACAGTGTAATTCTTTTTAAGTAAATGAAATAACACTTTGTAGAGGTATCAGCCCCTACACCTTCGCCACTAATTTGGGAGAGTCATATAGTTCCAAAAGGTATGTTGGTGCCTTTAAAAAAATCCTTCCAGAGCTCCAAAGGCTGTTCCATACGGGCAAAATAGTCAGTGAATAGTACCTCCTAAAACAGTTTTTCTCATCTCAGAATTGATTTTGTGTACACTTTCTCCAAGAACTTTTAATTCCATGTCAACTGATGTTTCTAGAAAAAAAATGCTTAAAAATAGTCTTAGAATAATATAAAAAAAGTATATACACATTTTTGAAAACATGTTTTAAGTACCTATTTTTCAGACCCCCTCCCCCACCACTCTACCAAAACTTTTCTGGGTCAGTTTAAATTTGGACTAAGAACTGCCTAGCAGCTACATATCGTACATATAACATTTGTATCAGAAAGGACTTTTGAGAAAGTATGTTAGTAAACATATTATCTTGTTATGAAAAGTGCATCTCTGAGGAGGCAACTGCATGTTGACAATGAACATATAGAAAAATAAAACATATGGTAGCTAAGTGTTAGTCTATCCTACACAGTAGCTATTAAAAGCTCTTTTAATTCAGTCTTTGCAAAGGGTTTTAAATTACTGGGATTGGTATTCTCCAAACTCTCCATTAGATCTGTTCAGTATAACAGCATTGCTTCCTCATTTAAACTGGTATAAAAATCCCTAAATTTTAAGGAACAAGAAAGGTCTGCTTCTGTTTAAGCATATTTATTAATTTAATGTTATTGTTTATATAGCAGAAAAAATATTTTGGAAACAATCCTGTTTGTTCTAACATGCAGCAAAGTGCTAGATACTCTGATATCCAATCTTGAACCTTACATGTGGCAATTTTTTTGGTGATGGTTTTTATACCTCTAAACCTGGCTTGTCCAACATACAGTCTGTGGGCTGCCATGCGGCCCGCCAAGCTGTTTTCTGAGGCCCGAGGTGCTGCGACGGGAAACAAAAGTAAAAAAATCTCCTCCCGGGAGGGGGGATTGCTGGGGCGGGATGGGCTTCATCTCTCCCCTAATGGCAAGCGTATCTTCTCTTCCAGGTTGGCTGATCTCGTACGGCGAGCTTTAAACTAGACTCGCCGGGGGAGGGGGCTGCAGGAAGACGAGGAGACGCCATCAGGGCAAGGGGTGCAAAGGTAAGTAACAGGGGTCCTGATGGTCTGGCTAATCAGGGGGTGGGGGGGCACACAGTCTTGCAAGGCCTTAAATGCCTGTACACCAATGCTCGTAGCATGGGGAACAAACAGGAGGAACTCGCCCTCAGAATAGCTAGTTCAAATCCAGATGTCGTAGGGTTAACAGAGACATGGTGGGACTCATCCCATGACTGGGCAGTTAACATTAGGGGCTATAGGCTGTACAGGCGGGATAGAGAAGGCAGAAAAGGGGGGGGGGTGGCACTTTATGTCAAGGAGCACTACACATCCTCTGCCAGCAGTATGGGGTCAGGGGAAGGGCGAGCTGAAGTGCTCTGGGTCAAGATCCAGGGGGGGCAAGGCGAGAGGGATTTGACGGTGGGGGTCTATTACAGACCCCCCAATCAGGAGGAGGAGCTGGACAGGGAATTTTCAGGCCAGCTTGCGGAGACACTAAAAGCAAGGGATGTAGTTGTCATGGGCGATTTTAATTACCCGGACATCTGCTGGGAGGAGCAGTCAGCCGGGACGGACCGCTCCAGGAGGTTCTTGGCCGAGTTGCAGGACCTCCACTTGATTCAGGAGGTGCACAGTCCCACCAGAGGAGATGCTCTGCTGGACCTGGTCCTGGCCGCAGGCGACGACCTGGTAAGAGGCCTCCAGGTTCTTGACCACCTGGGCAATAGTGATCATCGCGTGCTGGAATTCACCATCCAGCGTAGAGTGTCAAGGGCCCGCAGCAAGGTGGTGGCCCTAGACTTCAGGAGGGCCAACTTCAGTGAGATGAGGAGATTAGTGGGAGAGGAACTGGGGTCCTTGAGGGCAGAGGAACTCAGCGTCCAAGAGGAGTGGTCGTTCCTTAAGGAAACGATACTCGGGGCCCAAGGGGTGTCCATCCCGACAAGAAGCAAGGCGGGCAGGAGTGTCCAAAAGCCCCCCTGGCTCACCAAGGGTGTCCGGGAATGCCTGCTTGCCAAAAGGGTGGCGTACGCCCGGTGGAAGGGGGGTGTAATCTCCAAAGAGGAGTATACCTCCTCTGCTCGGGCCTGCAGGCGGGCTGTTAGGAAGGCCAAGGCGGAGATAGAGCTCGGATTAGCGTCCAGGATTAAGGATAACAAAAAGTCCTTTTTCAAATATATTGGGAGGATGAAGAAGGCGCCGGGTAATGTGGGGCCCCTGCAGGATATGCGGGGCAATCTGGTGGTTGCGTCAGAGGATAAAGCGGACCTCTTTAACCAATTCTTCACCTCCGTTTTCTTGTGCAGGGACCGGGACTTCCCTGCTGTGATAGAAGCCGGACGCGAGGGGATCGCCTTCAGACCTCAGGTTGGGGAGGACCGGGTTAGAGAGCTTCTGGAGGGGCTGGACGCGTTCAAGTCAGCGGGTCCGGATGCTCTCCACCCCAGGGTGCTGAGGGAGCTGGCTGGGGTTATTGCAGGGCCCCTGGCACGGCTCTACGAGCGATCGTGGTGCTTGGGCCAGGTGCCAGACGATTGGAAGGTAGCTAATGTGGTCCCCATCTTCAAGAAAGGGAAAAGGGAGGACCCGGGCAATTATAGGCCCGTCAGTCTTACCTCAATCCTGGGGAAGCTCTTTGAGAAGATCATCAAGGAGCACATTTGTGATGGGCCGGCATCCGAGATGATGCTCAGGGGCAATCAGCATGGATTTATTAGGGGGAGATCATGTCAGACCAACCTGATTGCCTTTTATGATCAGGTCACAAAGGCCATGGATGCAGGTGTCGCGGGGGATGTAGTCTTTCTGGACTTCAGCAAGGCCTTTGACACCGTCTCTCACCCCATCCTAATTAGTAAACTAGGCGACTGTGGCATAGATGCCTACACGGTCAGATGGATTGCAGATTGGCTGAAGGGTCGCACTCAGAGGGTGGTGGTGGATGGATCATATTCGACTTGGGGGGAGGTGGGTAGTGGAGTCCCTCAGGGCTCGGTCCTGGGCCCTGCGCTGTTCAATGTCTTCATCAGCGATCTTGATGTTGGGGTGGAGAGCAACCTGTTTAAATTCGCTGATGACACCAAAATTTGGGGGGAGGTGAGCACGCTAGCAGGGAGAGAGAGATTGCAGAAGGATCTGGATAGGTTACAGGGGTGGGCAGACAGGAACAGGATGCGTTTCAATACGGACAAGTGCAGGGTGCTGCACTTGGGTAGAAGGAACCAGCAGCACACTTATAAGATGGGGAGCTCCCTACTTGAGAGCACGGAGGCGGAAAGGGATCTTGGTGTCATTATTGACTCCAAGATGAACATGGGCCGACAATGCGAGGTCATGGTTGGCAGGGCTAACCGGACCTTGTCGTGCATCCACAGGTGCATCTCGAGTAGAGCCAGGGAGGTGATCCTCCCCCTCTATGCGACGCTGGTCAGGCCGCAGCTGGAGTATTGTGTCCAGTTCTGTGCGCCCCATTTCAGGAGGGATGTGGACAACATGGAGAGGGTCCAGAGGAGGGCCACCCGCATGATCCGGGGACAACAGGGCAGACCCTACAGTGAGAGACTGCGGGACTTGAACCTATTCAGCCTCCACAAGAGAAGGCTGAGGGGGGGCCTGGTGACCGTCTATAAACTCACTAGGGGGCACCAGAAGGGTTTGGGGGAGACGCTGTTTCCCCTAGCCCCTGCTGGCATAACAAGGAATAATGGGCACAAGTTGATGGAGAGGAGGTACAGATTGGACATCCGAAAAAACTACTTCACAGTCAGGGCGGCTAGGAGCTGGAACCAACTTCCAAGGGAGGTGGTGCTGGCCCCTACCCTGGGGATCTTTAAGAAGAGGCTGGATACTTACCTGGCTGGACTCATTTGAGTCCCGTTTTTGTTTTTAGGGTGAGTGGTTTTGTTTGTGTTTTTGGGTTGTTCTCCCGCCCTGGCGGGGGGTCGGGCTAGAAGATCTATTAGGTCCCTTCCGACCCTGAAACTATGAAACTATGAATAAAAACTGTTTACTTTCGTTCCCACCCCTTGTCCCTCCCCCAGCCCCTCAGCAGCTTCCTAATGGCTGCTGAAGGGCTGGGGAAGATGCAAGGTTCCCACACGCAGCCCTCAGCGAGCAGTGCCTCACAGCAGGGCCTGGGCACACACGCAGTCCCTGGTGCCCAGGGACTTACTGGGAATCCTTGAAAGCAGGCGGAGGTGGCGGCGCGGGGCCAGGGCTCAGCAGCGGAGCCACACGGGGCTGAGGCAGGAGCACACACAGCCACCGGGGCAGCGAGGCTGGTGGTGGCAGAGTGGAGGGCGCCTTTCCTGCACATCCCAGGGAGGCTGCGGCCAGGCGGGTGAGGTGCAAAGCGCCGCACAGGTGTCTCCCATAGACACACATCCCTCTACCTTTGATTAGTTTCCACTCTGGCTGATATCTTTTCCACATTTGATCTGTCGACTTGCATTATGCTTCTTTCATTATGCATTATGTGAAAGTGTTTATTTTAGTCAAGAGTTTCGTATTTCATTGTTGCTTTTATATTGTTTTCATTTTGGATTTTAAACCACATTTCCAGACCCATTTCATTGTCACTTCCTGAAACTTCATTGGTGTCAAAGGTCACGTGACACCACTTCCTGATTTGATACCACTTCCTGTGAGGTCTTTGAATATGGCTCGCTGGCCCACTGGGTGATAAAAAGTTCATGATCCGGCCCCACATTCAAAAAGGTTGGACACCTCTGCTCTAGACCCTTCACATGAGAGATACAATGCAAGTATCAGTAGAGATACCATGTAAGTAAATGGTTTATTGTACATACTTCAAAAGAGCTCTACAGCACACCTTCAAAACATTTGATATAATATTGTATTCCACCAAAACAATATAAAAAGAACATGGAGAAAGAATTTAAATATATAACCAATAGTGATTCTTAGAGTTAATGGAACACTCTTATATAAAAATACCAGCAAGTAACTGTTTCAGATTGTCTTTTTAATTTTATTCTCTCCCAAACTGGGAGATCGTTTCAGAATGGGGACAAAAAAAACAAACAAACCTCACTTCAGTCATACCAAACACAGCTTATACCACTGCAATATATGTTAGCTACTTAATAGACTGCAAAAAATCAGTCCAAAGATTTAAAAAATAATAATTCTGGATCGATTTAAACAGGTTTAATCATATAATTTTTGTGTTAGTTAGGATATAGTTGGAAACTTTACATTTCAACTTCAAAAGTCACATAAGCAAATAAAAACGTAGCAGAAGGCAACTTTTTTTAAAGGAAGAACAAACCCTAACTTTATTTTTACTTATGCTAAATAAAGTTTCCTTAGTCTGCTTAACCAATGCATCAATTTTTCATCCATTCTACCAGCACAACAGGCATAGGAGTCAGAAATTTCAGACTGCATCTGCAGGTTTTATTAATGCAAAAATGGACCTACTTGAGTTGGATTAGCTGTCCCTTGCAGTCCCATATAAAGGGATGCAACTTCCTGATAATGTTGTTCGTCACTTATCTTATCCCACCATAAGGAATATTTCCTTAATTTGTACTGTAGTATCACTGGGAAACAAAGAGGCCGTCCCCCACAATTTCAGCCTTTTGACAGAGCAGACTATAGGGTGTAAAAATGGAGAGAAAAACTAAAAAGAACATTGCAACCTGAACAAAACTGGGAGCTTAAGTTATCCACTTCCCTTGAAAAATACTTGAGTATTACGTGGAATGACCAGAAGGCCAGTTGGAAGCAAATGAACTTTCATAGGTTCATAGATTGTGAGGCTGGAAGGGACCTTGGAAGATCAAAGTCCCGCCCCCCTGCACCAAGTGCGAAAGACAACTGGGGTCAGGTGACCCCAGAAGCGTTGTACAAGGTTGAATAGACTCCAACAAACGTTGCAATTTTAATGTATATTTGTTTAATAATATAATAAATAAAAAAAATCTAGATTTTATATACTGCTCTCCATCCACAGATTTCAAAGCACTTCACAAATAAAGTAAATAGCATTTTTCTCCATTAACCTTATATTACTAATGTAAAAATAATTTCTCTCTCTAGAATTTCCTCTCTACTTCTGCTTTATCTAGTGCTTGCCTGCCTCTTCTGGCATCACCTTGTCTGTAGAAGAAACAAGAACATGAAAATAAGGCACCAAATCAGGCGCAGCATGCATCCTATGTTTGCAATATACATGGAGGTGGAAACACCAAATGAAAGGGGGCCTTTTTATATACTATGAGGACAGCCTTTTGGCCTTTGCTTTTTGTTAGGTTTAGTCAGACAGCATATTGTCATGAAATACTAAAACTAGATATGGGAAGAGGCACAACCTTTAACACTTGTGATTTATACTGCACTACAGATTTGCTGTAATATGGTCAATGCAATAGCCATGTGTATTTATAAACTTCTTTTTAAAACCACTAGAATCTTCTACAATCAGCTCATTTTCATCATTGAATATACTCAATGGACAGCCTAAACATAAGTAAATTAACCTTTCATGAGATCATAGCCATAAGTAGTAGCCTCCTTCCATAAAATATTCAACCTAATTTCAGACTTTTAATAATTATGTAATCAAGACACTTTATACTTTAGCAACATAATTTCATCAGACACCATCCCTTTCTATTCAACACAAAATATCCCATGGCAGTTGTTATTCCACTCAGTGGAGCTCTGGTCAACATTCCATCTTTATGATCTCTTTTTAAAGTGAGTAAGGTGATGCCTTTTCAAATGCGGGGCCTGTCTGAAAGTTTTACCACAAACTGAACATTCAGATGGCTTCTATCCAGCATGCATTAAACAGTGTCTTTCAAGTTCTGAAGGTGATTTAGAAGTTTTAAAGCAGACACTGCATTGATACAACATCTTAACGACTTCACTTTCTTCTGTACTCCCAGAAAAATCATACCAGTGACTATAATGGCTTTCCTCTGTTTCTACTGATTTGCTACACAAATATGGCTGTGTGTTTCTACTGCTGGTGTCAAGAACGAAGTCCCCAGATTCTATCTCAACTTTGATTTCAGCTGCTTGGTTTGGCTGTATCAGCTCAAATTCTTGAAAGCCAGATACCTGTGAAGGTTTTTGGAAATAACCCACAGGCTGAGAAGACTTAAATTCGATGTGATCTCCCTGATGATTGAAAAGTTTGTTCAGATTTTCAAATCCCACCTGGCAAGCAGGGCTTTTATATGGTCTCTTTTCAGTATGGGTGAGCTGATGTCTTTTTAAGTGAGCTGACTGTCTAAATGTCTTCCCACAAACATTACAGGCAAAGGGCTTCTGTCCCGTGTGAATCAGATAATGTCTTTGAAGTTTGGATGAAGAAGGAAAGATTTTTTCACATCTGTCACATTTACACACTTTGTGTCTATTATGGATATTTTCAGTGGGAGCTGAAAAAGCACAGTGAAGTACTTCTCGATTATCAAAGAAACCATCATCTGATGAACCATAAAAAGAATCATCTTTATTATGCACTGATTCATCCATGTTTAACATGCTTTTGCCAGTAAGCATACATTTTAAATTAATTCCTAATTTGTGGGTTTGCAGGTGTTCTTGCCAGGGTAATGGCACAGTAAATGTTCTTTTCTTTTTATTGCTAATTGTCTTATGCATGACAAGCTTGCTGTGGTAGCTCCTAAAAGCTTTAGGAGAAGCATTCTGATCAGAACGGTGTTCGCTTGCAGCAACCAGGTCATGACTTTTAAAGTGACTTGTTTTCATCCTTTTTCTGTCAGACAGAGAAGAATCGAGTGCCTTTTCTCCAGTACACTTAAGCTTCATCAGGATTTTACTTTTAATGCTAGTTCTATGGTTGTAGGCTCCCATGCCACTGTTTGGATTCCTGCCATCTTTGGGGTAAAAACATTTGTGCAAATTTAGAATGTGCTCTGTTTCAAAACACTGCTCACACACAGGGCACTGAAAAGGTACGATATAAATAGAGTAAACATCTAGCGGGTCAGTCTCATGGGACTCATCAGCATTAACATTCTCAACATTATCCTTTTTCCTTTCCAGCAGGTTCTGTAGCCTGGGGTATTTAGGATTCTTTGCTTTATATAGGATACTAGAAAAAGTCTTATTTCTGGCATGGAGTTGCTTGTGCTTCAGGAGTTTGCTCTGTATCTTAAACCCCTTCTGACAAAAACAGCACTGAAAAGGCCTCTCTTCTGTGTGTGTGAGCTGATGGATTTTCAGATGGGATGACTGTCTGAAAGATTTACCACACAAGGAGCACGTAAAAGGTTTCTGGCCAGTGTGAATAAGCAAGTGTCTTTCTAGCTTAGATCGTGATGGAAACATCTTGTTACAGGTTTCACACACATGAGTTTTTTTTCTCCTTCTGGCACTATGCAGATGATCTGATTTCGTGCACTGATGCAGCATCCACCTCTCTTCTGTTGTAAACAATTTTTGGCAAATGGAACATCTAAACTTCTCGTACACCAGCCTATCTTGCTTGGTATCCACTGGTTTTTTTGCTTGCTTAATATTACTCTGGTAGTTTTCATTATGAAGCTGCTGATGCTTTAAAAATGTGATCAAGTTCTTGAAGTTTCTACGACAAATATTACATTTGAAAGGCAGTTTATGGGTTAGCTGGTGTCTCTCCAGATGGACTAGCTGCCGAAAAGTTTTATGACACACGTGACATTCAAATGGCTTTTGACCAGTGTGTATAAGATAATGCCTAGCTAATTTGGAAGGTGTTTCAAACTGTTTGTAGCAGAGATCACACATATATGGTCTTTTCCTGGGTATCCTGTTAGCTGTTACACACAGTTGTATTTTAAACATTTTTTTTTTAAAAAAGTACTCCTATCCTTGTTGGTTTCTTCAGAAGAACACTTCAAGTGAGATCTTCAACAGCACACTAAGAAGGAAGGCTGTAGCAGCAGCAACCTATCTTGGAGAACAATTCTTGAATTCCTGTCCCTAAAATAGTAAAAAGTGGTATTATTTTAGATTATTTTAGTAACTATTAGTGTGGTTTGCTGTTTGAAAAAAACAAGAGATAATGGTTAACTAGAATAAGGTCAGTTTTACTCAGCTTAAAAAACTTCTTACTAACAGACCAATAAAAAAAACCATACTGAAAAACACATTAAGGGAAAATGGACTATTCTACATAAGAAAACAGTTAGTCATCTATTCTCTAATGAATATGTATTTAAATGCTCTTTCTTCAAAGTACAAAGAAAATAAAATGCTGTTCTATTTTTAAAAGTCTATACAGTTTACCCCACTACAGCTGGGAGTAACTGCTAGTTGTAAGAAGCTTTGTGAGTAAAGGAGATGTAAAAATTAGAGATCACAACAGGAAAAAAACCAGGGATAATCCTAGACCCCAATATAATAATTAAATGACTATAGCATTTTTGAGGAGTGCTAAATTACAAGTCCAGTAAATCTGAACTTGAGAGAACAGGTACCATTCACATTGCTGCACCTCACCAACATCTCAACTTTGTCTCTGAGGAGCACCACAGCAACCACTTCCCTGTAGGAAGAAAAGCACAGTTAAACGCAAGGTGACAGCCTCCTTGTGGAGGCTGCAGAGGGTGGAAATTAGCAAAATGGAGTGATATAATGACCTTTGCTCTCTCCCAACTGGCCTTTACGTGAACCAACTGCAGAGGAGTGAAAGTCTCTGTAATCCACTGTATCCCTCTTCTTCAATGAGTGTTACTATCTATGAAATATTTTCATGTTGTATATGTGAATGCCATCCGCCACGATTTACACATATTCATCTTGTACACCAAGTAAACACAATATTTCATTAAAATATTTTCTGCTGAAAATCAGGAAAACTTAAGTAAGTCACTGTCTCTAAAAGCACTGCTTCTAATCACCACACATAGAAAGCACCCCTAAAAGTAATACTTCTCAACTGAGCTACTAAACTAAACTAAACTAAACGCAAAGTATCTTTTTAGATACTTCTTTCGAGAAAAAGCCTGCCATATGAGAGTTAGAAGGAAACAGGCTGTACTTACACTTCCCACAGAGTACATAAAAGGTCTAGTGGGTCAAAGATTGCTCAAAAGAACCATATTGAAAAGAAATCCAATAGGATGTTTCCCTGTCTAGCTGATATGACCCTATATTATTTTTGGGCTTGACATAAGTTCCTGTACATCAAAGATGCTTTGTATCTGGATATATACATTTTTGTAGAGTTCTTTGATTTAGCAGAGCTTAGAAAGGCTACAGAGTAGATGTCGGGTTCTGTGAAATTTCCTTTCCTCTTTTCCACCCTGTTTTAAATGCTCCCCTCTTTTAGCCCTCCCGTCAAAATGCAAGACTTCCCAAAGCCAAACTCTCAGGAAATCCCCGTCTCCCAAACTGCTCGCACACTATTTCTTAGGAAGCACATGACATCAGCCTGTAAAATGCTGCCTAGTTTGTGCTAGATCAGTCACTGAGAGAACTGAGGTTTATATAGCCGCATAAGGGAAACCTAAGGGAAGGAGCAGGCCGGGCCTTGCTAAGTAATTTTGGCTCAAAGTAGTTTCCTTTACCAGGAAAGGAAGAAAAGTAAAGATTCTTTGTCAACTAGGGGTGTCATCATACAAATCTAATTTAGTTGTCAGGAGAGTGTTCATGTACTCCAGAGGTTGACATCAGAAATAGAGACGAAAGTACCACGCTGAAAAAGAGATCTTGTACACAATTAAATTACAAAGTAAGGGCCCAAAGTGGTGATTTCAAATAAAAAATGCTTATTTTTGTTAACAGTCTCATTAAAGTCAGTGGGAGCTGTAGCTGTTCCATAAATCAGGACATTTGCTTAGCTGTTTAAATCTGAAAGTGCAGAGCTAACTCTAGACACCCACATTTAAAAAAAAAAAATGATTGCCATATCATGTTAAAAGTTATCTTACTTCTTAAACCAGATAGATATGTTGTGTACAGCCAACTTTTTGGCTACTCATTCCTGAAATCTGAACATTAAAACATTAAGGCTCTGATTACTTCTACCTAACATTGTTCTGAACAGCCTGAAATTCTCACTCCGGGTGTAACACATACTTCACACTCACTATGAGTAACAAGCGTTGTCTTGCAAAAATGCAGCAAAATCTATGAAGGTAAACAGCAATGTGAACTTGAAGCAACAGAAACAACATTTACTTCCCTGTATTTAGGCACTTGTCATGTCCTTCATTCCTCTCCCAACCCCCCCATGTCAACCAAGAAGTGGAAGTAATTCCCAGTCTAACAAGGAAAGTTCATGCGCTAACAAAAGTCAATCATTTTAGAACAAGATCTCTACGGAGTGAACCTGTTGCCTGTACAGATGAGGGAAGAGAAAAGTTTGCAATTTCCTATACTAATAGCAGCTACTGATCAAGCCAGGGGATATTATAGTCTCCCTATTAATCTGAACCAGGTCTATTTCTCCACACAGCCTGGATGTAGTCTGTGTGCTGCAATCCAAGGAGACTGCTGCTACTTTTCATCCTAGTCACGAGGTTATGGAGGAGCATGGAAGTGAGGGGGATAAAGATCTGTTTGCCAACACGACTCAGACTCAGCTGTGCTTCAGCACCGAAGGGCACCATTAGCCCGTCAGCTGTACCTTAAAACTAACATTTAGTTTTCCAAACACAAGCACGAAAAACAAAGAGGCTGAGCCCGTGGTAAAATACATATTGAAATATAATGTGCCTCTTGTCAAATGAAGCATCAAACACGAAAGCACAGGCCTCGCTGCTGATTTGAGAAGCTACATGGCATGCAGAGGAAATAAGACATCGCGCCCATATCGCCGATGGGCAAAAATGTCATACGGCCCTGCTCCAGAACAGGCTGAGCAGAAACGCAGCCTTCGCCCGCAGCAACGCAGCCGCTGGCGCAAAGCAGAAGGGGCCCTAACAGCCCACCGGTCCCACACCAGGGTGCGGGAAGCCATGGAAAACATCAGAGAAAGCAAAAAACCGAACGAAGACGCAGCAAAACCCAGGGACCAAGAGGCAGGTCTGAATTTCGGAGGGGAGGCTGCCACAACAACAGCCCTAGGGCCCTGACAACCTTCCACCTTCAGCCCGCGGCTTGGCCAGGGGGCCCGCCCCGGACTGCACTGCCCGGAGCCTGCAGCTGGCCACGAAAACGCAGCACGGGCCTGGCGGGCACCAAAGCACTGAGCAGCCCCGGTGGAAACCAGGCACCTGGATTAGCCCCCCAGGCCAGGCCTGCCCGCGCTGCAGGGGGAGCCGGCGCACAGGGCGGGACACGAC